AAGTTCTTTACGGAAATCATTAATATTACTTTGACTTTCAGTCTCAAATGACCTTTAAAATATCTGTCATTACAAGTTGGTGGAAAACTTAAATATGAGTATGATAAATCATGAAGTGCATTTATTTTCTGTGAAATAAGACTGACTTGGTTGATCCAGTCATTTTACTTAGTTTCTTTAGCCTATCATTTATCATTTTAATGGCTGCTTTTTTTCATGGTTCCTGCTTCCATAATAGCTTTGTAAAAACATGAATAAATGCATAAGACAAACAAGGCGTATGTAGATTAATTTACAACATTGTTTTTTCCAAATTAATGCATTGACTAGGATCACAAACAATAAAAACAATCTGATATCATAAATGTAATGTACTGCAAACAGGGATCTATGTAATGCATGCCAGCATGTGAGTAAAGGTATGTATATATATGTCTGTGTATATATATATATATATATATATATATATATATATATATACTGTATATTTATTTATTTATGTATACAGTTGTGCTCAAAAGTTTGCATACCAACAATTATCTTTTATTTAAGGATGGTGATCATATAAAGCCATTTATATCACTTTTTAAATCATAATGATATCAGAAATCACCCAAATAGCGTCACAACTTTACATTTCCTGGAATGTTTGGCCTTGGTACAGACACACAAGGTAACACACAGGTTAAAATGGCAATTAAAGGTTAATTTCCCACATCTGTAACTTTTTAAATTGCAAATAGTGTCTGTGTATAAATAGCCAATGAGTGTGTTAGCTCTCACGTGGATGCACTGAGCAGGCTAGATACTGAGCCATGGGGAGCAGAAAAGAACTGCATAGCAAGATAATGGAACATTATAAAGGATATAAAAAGATACCCAAAGCCTTATACAGTAATGTCTGTCAGTACTATTCAATCACTTATTAGGAAGTGGAAATTTTGGTGATTTGGTGCCAAGCCAAGGGTCAAGTAGACCAAGAAAGATTGCAGGCACAACTGCCTGAAGAATTGTTTGGGATGCAAAAAAAAACCCCACAATACAACGTTACTTGAACGAACATGCATGGTCGATTTGCCAGAAAGAAGCCTTTACTTCACCAATGCCACAAAAAAAGGGCAAGTGCAATATGCTCAGCAATACCTTGACCTTCACAAAAAGCCTATGACCTATAGTGACAAGAATGCCATCCCCACTGTGAAGCATGATGGTGGCTCACTGATTTTTTTTTTTTGAGGGGAGGTGAGCTCTAAAGGCACTGGGAAGTTTGTGAAAATTGATGGCAAGATGGATGCAGCATGTTATCAGAAAATAGTGGCAGACTATGTGCACTCCTCTGCATGAAAAGTTGCACATGGGACACTCTTGGACTTTCCAGCACAACAAAAACCCTAAGCATGAGCCCAAGTTGACCCTACAGTGGTTACAACTGAAAAAAGTAAAGTGGCCACTCTGGGGAGATCTCGAACATGCTGTTCATGTAGGACGACTAAGACTTTGCATGACCTAGAGACATTTTTTCCAAGATGAATAGGCAGCTATAGCACCTGCAGAAATGTAGGGCCTCATAAACAACTATTACAAAAACTGCACCCTGTCATTGATGCTAAAGGGGGCAATACACAGCATTAAGAACTTAGGGTATGCAGACTTTTGAACAGGGGACATTCCATTTGTTTACTTGTTACCATGTTTTGTTTTATGATTGCGTATGACCTACAGTTTAATATGGACCCCATAAACAATAAAATAGATGTGTTTTGCCTGCTTACTCATGTTTTCTTTAAAAATGTTAAATAGTCTTACCAATTCTCCAAGGGTATGCAAACTTTTGAGCACCACTGTGTCTATATATACTGTATTTATGTACAGCATTTTATATATACACTATATATATATACAGTATATATAGAAATAGAGAGACAGAGAGATTTACTGAGTGAGATGCATGCGTGTTGTCTTTCTCCATTACATTAATATCTTGAGAGACTATAAGGGATTGGTATAAGCAAAGAGAAGTCGGTATATACTCTGCAGTCTTCTGGTTATTGTTGGGTAACAAATGACAGCCACAAATGCCAATGCATGTTAGCCAAACTGGCCTTATGTATGAAGAGTGTACACCAGAATGCCGGCTTTTCTTTGCTGATATGGATCGTGTGGATGAGGTTTCAGCTGCCTCTGCCAGAGTACTGGTGATAAAGCTACATTATAACATTGAGAGGTAGCATAAGAGGTTGTCTTATGTAATTTTAATGATTGTAGTTCAACTAGTTTTTTTTTTTAAATTTGAAGATACAGAGAAATTAAAAAAAAGGTACTTGTAATTCTAGTGTCAGAGCTATAATAACCAGTTATATCAAGGAAGGAAGCGTAATCTGAGTCATCAGTCCTAAAGTGTTCATCTAGGGTGCTGAATCCACAAAGACAAGGAGGAAGTCAATTTGTCATAAGTTAGATTCCATGATGCTAGTAATCTCTCCATTTTGCCTTGATAGTTAACCCCTTGGCACCAACACCTCTGGGCCCTTTAAGAGGTTTCAGATGCCAGGAGGTGGGGACGGTGTTTCTGATCATGTGACCGCAGTGATTGGCTATCACAGTGGTCTCATGATTGAAAAGCTCCTGATCGCAAGAGATCGGGAGCTTTCTATTAGCCGATAGTAACTGTGACGGGAGCGTGCATGGTGCACATTCTCGGCACAGATTTGTTTATCTTTAGATACGCATATATGTGGCCTCTCGGTGTTAAGGTCCACCAGCCCAAAGGCCGCATATATGCATATGATTGCTGGGAAGCAGTTAAGATTTTTTTAAGTTTGGATCTTTAATTTAAGATCTTTTTTCAAGTGTTAGTGATAGTAGGTTGAGAGAGAGTTTCCATAGTCTAACTAGATTGAGTTTAGCAGCAAGAATTAAGCGAATAGCAGCAATGTAAGAGGTGGGAGTTTATCAATCCCAGTGTAGAGGAGAGCCAAGGCTGGTAAGTGTATCCCACAAATATCAGAGACTAGGGAGAAAATGTTATTCCAATATGAACAAACTGATTTACAATGCCACAGTAGATGGAAAAGGGAGCCTGTTTCTCAGTCTCCAGCTTTTTGAAGAATAAGTAGTGTATAGCTTGTAAAGTCTGTAAGAATTAGGTACCAACAATGTAAGATGTTTTTTTAAGTAGTTCTCAATAATTCTTACAATGGGATCCCAAATAGGTATAAGTGCCTTAGTCGTTTTAATGATTTTAACAAAGATGTCTCTTTATTATTGTCATTTTTATCCACTCCACGAGGTTTGGAGTGCAGAAACCTTTTTTGGATTATATTTACAGTATATATAAAACAAACATAAATGTAGGAATCCATGCAGAATTGTAATCATATTATGCAATGAAACAATGACAATAATGAGACAATTTTGTTAACATCATTAAAATGACATACAACAACCCCTTATAGTCTCACAAGATATTTGTTTAGCTCAAATGGTTCCATGATATTCTGATCTCTGTCTTACAGTCATCCTAGTAGAGTACAAACAATTGAATGTCATAAGCACAGTGGTACACAAGATTTTGTATGTGTCAAAATGAAACACGTTTGTATTCACATTATTCAACAACAAAAATACAATGACAATAATAAAGTACCAGCCATATTCAGATAATTTATTTGACATAAGACAAACCCTTACAACCCCACAGTTAGATATTTGTATAGAACAGAAGTCAGACAGCATGATGATTCCCTTGTCTCATGGTACTCTGTTGAATATTACAGTAATCTCTGCAAGTAAACAACTGAATGTCAAAATACAAATGCACACAGTACAGTATATGTATGTGACAAAATAAAAAGATTCAAGTAATATCCTACAAATAATACACTAATATTTATATGTGCATGGAAAATTGCATTGAAAACCAAGATAGGTTTCATACAGGTACAATTTGCAGGGGAAATTGCTGCTATGGAGATACTTAGCTACCCAAAAATTATAAAATGCAATGAAAGAAAGGCTATGTTCACCCAAAGGCTTTAGGTGTTGTGGAGGACAATACCTGCTTCCTTGAAAACCCATGAGTGCTGGTATTGGCTTTTTGCCAATTATCTGGGATCCCTTATTGTCATAGTATTAGCTTAGAATATAAACATATTTTTGCAGGAGTGACTATATTATTGTGGTTTTTGTATATTGTCTTTACAAGTGCAGCTATGATTGTGAGGGTTTTATTGTGAGCAAGTGTTGCCATATTGGCTGTGTGGTGCGTACTTTCTTTCATTAGTCAACAAAATAGAAGCACACGTCCAAACCCCGCGATTTGTAAGACACAAATTTATAGCTAAATCATGTACACATTCTGGGTGTATGGACTGATGTGGGATTGATTTTTAGGAATCCAATATTATCTGATTTATAAATTATCTTGCTTCCATTTGAAGAACATTTCAGGAATTGAATACCTAATCATACTAAAAGATTTGACAGTTTTAAATCTTGTTTTCAAAACCCAATGCCTGGATTACTGTAAAGCTTTCTAAATATGCACCCTAGGTCTACACCACCTATAGGTAAAGCACATTGCAACAGCTAAATTGGTAAATAACTAGCCTTGTAATGGTCCATGACACTAGGGGGTTTATTTACTAAAGCTGGAGAGTCCAAAATCAGACTCCCTTCTGCATAGAAATCAATCAGCTTCCAGGTTTCATTGCCAAAGCTTCATTGAACAAGCTGAGGTTAGAAGCTGATTGGTTTCTATGCAGAAGAGAGTCTGATTTTGGACTCTCCAGCTTTAGTAAATAAACCCCTAGTTGTCTGCTTGTTCCATTGGTTGTTCATAAAACATGTGCGCAAACTCCTATATTACTATACCTACAATTACAAATTATGATATCTCATCACCTATTTATATATGTGAATGCCAAACAATATGTTTTTGCTTGTATAAATAGGCGATGAGATATAATGATTTGTACTTGTCGGGATAGTAATATAGGAGTTTGTGCACCTTTTTTATTCAGATATTATTTGTAACTTGTATCCAGAAGATTGAGTGCAGCATTTTCCTATTGCACCTAAAATTGGGGTTATGTCCATAAAACATGACAGTTCATTTTTAGTACATATTGAACTGTGCTAAGGAGCAGGGGCGGACTGACCATTTGGAAACTCGGGCACTGCCCGAAGGCCCAGGGTCAGTAGGGGGCCCCATGAGATGCCCCTGGTACCTTTTTCATAGGCTTTTTTGAGTTTGGGCAAGGACACAGGGGCCCCATGATCCCCTATTGCCCGGGGGCCCTATGAGTTGTCAGTCCGCCCCTGCTCAGGAGGATTTGATTTTTGTGTAGTCCTCATAGACTGTGGCCCAAGGACCAACAAGTGAGGTGCCTTGGTGTCTGACAACGTATGTGAGCTGTGTGGTTTGGCATCATAGTATAGATAAACTTTCTACAGCAACAGTGCACCTTTCTGCAGAATTTTCCAGCAGTGGCATAAATTGCAGTTTGCTAGTAGAGGAAAGCCTCAGCTATGGGATAGGATAATGGATGTTTAGTTCTCCGTTTTTGTGCTGGTGGTGACGCAGCTCTTATGCTATTGCCCCCTACTAGCCAGGGAGGCAGAACTATCAATCAGGTCTTATGCTACATATCCATCTCTGCTGTTCACTCTCCCGTTAAGTTTCGATAAATTAGATGGCAGAAGCTAAAAACGGGGGAAGGTCCTACTTCCATGTGCATAACACAACACATATGGAGGAGCTGCAAGAAATTGCTGTCCATGGAGTTCTCCTGTTGAGTTCCAGTATATCTGTCTGAAAAGTGGGAAACCAATATAACAAGTATGTAAAATAAACTCCAGACACTTCAACAAGTTAGTAAACTACTCTCCACATTAAGTTTATTACAGTTTTTTTTAATTCTGGAACTCTTTCGACGCAACCCCTCCTCCTTACTTTTTAGTTTTATTTGTGACTTCTTCCCCAGTTCTTCATTCTTCATTTTCACATTGACAACAACCTTTACCAAGATAACTGTAGTGCCAAGGAATATATCAAACCTTAAAACTGAACTCTAGTCAGCAAAAAAAATAATAACACACAGCAATGGGGTGCACTACATAGGGGTAGGGAGTAAGCATGATTACTTCTTACTCCACACTGCTGAACGACTGGTCCCTTAAAGCCCCTCCGTTTTATTCGACTTCCAGTCCTGGTCTATCTTTGTACCTCACCCTGCATTGTAATACCCAGAGCAGAGAAGAGGGCTGGCTGCTGAATTGATGAAGAATAAGTTAAGTATTTCTACTTATTCCTTAACCCCTAGCAAAACAAATAATTGACCCTTGCTGTGCAGTGGAGTGGATGCACTATTTTCTTGTGTTGACTATGGTTAAATTACTTAGTTGGTGCTTTTGCCATTATTTAATTTGTATCATTGTATTTAGTTGTCCATCTTGTCTTAAAATCTAAAATACCACCCAAAACTAGGGTGTAAAACAAAATGCTTAAACTACAATTGTGAGCAGACAATTTACTTTCAAATATTGTCACTCTTCAATGTCTATCTTTTAAAACAATTGCTTTCAACACATTTAGTGATGATTATGTAGCTTTTGGTGGACAGATAACCACAGCACCTGTACCCAGGCAGATATTTTGTGTGGAGTAATATTCAAATCTTCATTGTTCATGCACTTGTATGCCAGTGTGAAGAGCTAAGGTCATGGATGTGCTGCATTACAAAACTGTGTGCCCAGAAAGTTGACCTAAAGAAGGTTATATATTATATCTAAATCTAGCACTATGTTTGGGTTCCTGCAGGAGAAAATCATGTTATAAAGTGTTTGTTGTTCATATATCACAACAAACTACACACAATGTATAAGTTCTCCAGTAGGTTTTGGATGTTCTTCAATAAGAAAAATGAAGAGTGCAGTATAAACATACTGTATTGCATTGAGATGGAGAACTTAGATATTAAAACAGCATAAACTAGTAGAAAGTGGGTTTTTTTTTTTTATAGATGGGATGCATGGAACCTTCCCATGTTGCCACACAAGGGTATGAGAAGTGGAAGTTTTTCATGCATGCTGATAATTCCCTCTCATTTTGAAGACCTATACTATTAAAACACTAAGAAATAATATGACTGGACTGGAGGCCTACATAGTAAGATAGCTAGTTACTATGCATATTAAGTCCAATCTCTATGTGTGCAGTTCTAATAATCCTGCATACATACCACAGGCATGAAACAAGGATATTCCTTCCAACCATTTATTAAAAACACTCTAGGAAATACACAAATTGAAATCATTAATTTGCAAAGTTAAGTTAATAGCTATTAATCTGCCCTTAATTATGAGTTTCAGTTCACAATTTGGGTGAAAAAAAAATTGGGCCTGAAAAAGGAAGCAATGGGGTTGATTTACTAAAACTGGAGAGTGCACAATCTGGTGTAGATGTGCATGGTAGCCAATCGGCTTCTAACTTCAGCTTTTACAATTAAGCTTGAAGCACCAATTAAGCACCAGATTTTGCACTCTCCAATTTTAGTAAATCAACCCCAATGCTTTTCTCGGACCTTTTCAGTTACAGATACAAATTATGGGTTTATTTACATCTGTTGTATCTCAGCTGGCCACTATATTAACTGGAGACAAATGTGACTTACTGTATGATAGAATTTTTTTCCTTATGCAAAGGTCGGGTCTTTGACATGAAAAGCATGCCATACTTATGGGTAGCATTGCAGGAGCGTTTTGCAGAGAAAGAATCTTGGAACTGTGCAGTGAGTAATGGCTGTAAAAGTGCTGGGACTTAGCAAGAGGCACATTGCCAGTTTCATGCTACGTTCTATGGGTAATATTGCTATGACTTCAACTGACTGTTGCAAAGATCATCTTTGTATTCTGCTTCATGAGTCCTTCAGAATTTCAATGAGTGTTTTCATAGTTGGTCTTGGTTTCAATGTTAACTCTAGACAGCAGTAGAAATAGAATGGCTGTAGCAAACTTTCTGGTGATGCTCATTTCTATAACTGCAGCAGACTAGATAAAGACTTCAAAGAACTTGTATGCCATCTTTTAATTATTTCTCCCATCTACATTAGGAGTAGATATATTTTTCTACCCGCAGGAAACAATAGGTCATTAAAATATGCAAACTTTCTGAAACACTAATTATTAACATAGAAAAGAAAGAAAGGAAAGGTAGATAATAATTGGAATGTTTCTAACTATTAATATTTTGGTCCTTTATGACCTTTCATTCAGAATACACTTCATAAGTGTCTTTTTCAAGGCTTATTTCTTTTGCCTTTCAGCATTTCTCTGGATTGGTACAACAAAAGGCCAAACAAAATGCATGAAAATGAATGTGAAGGAAATATTTTTCTGTAATGGTAGTCTGTGTGTGAAACCTTCCTGTACTGTCCTAATTTTTACCTAGAACACGACACCTCTTTCACTTACCTGTCACTGAGACCCTCCATCCAACTGAATACTTTTACTATATTATTAGATTGGTATACTTTATTCATAGCATTAAAAAGGAACTGCAGAAAAACACCAAAATAAAAAGTTTAATACTTTTATTTTTACTGTTTTACTTAAGAAAAGGATTTGTGATTATAGCTAGCTGTTACTGTCATATACACCTCTATGCTAGTCATTACTCTGCTTCTTTTTTGTAGAACATCACTGCTTTTTGGGTCATTGGACATAGGTGGTTGAAGGTAGAAAGCTTACAAAGGAAGTTGCACTGCTAAACCAAGTAGCTGCATTGGAGAACACATAAATTATTTTGTTTGACTTAACCACAGAGGATTTACCCCCCTTCCTGACCAGGTCATTTTTTGCGATACGGTACTGTTACTTTAACTGACAATTGTGCAGTCATGCAATACTGTACATAAATGAGATTTATGTAATTTCTTTCCCCGCAAATAGACCTTTCATTCGGTGGTATTTGATTACCTCTGCAATTTTTATTATTTGCACTATAAACAAAACAAAAAAAAAAAAAACCTACAATTTGAAAAAAAAACTAGATTTTTTACTTTTTGCCTTAAAACATATCCAATAAAAAATTTTAAATATCAAATTTCTTCATAAATTTAGGTCAAAATGTATTCTGCTACATGTCTTTGCTATACAAAATCCCAATATGTGTTAATTAATGTGTTACGTGAATGTTATAGCATCTACAAATGGCGGTATATATACTGTAATTTTTTTTTTATACTAGTAATGGTTGCGATCAACAACTTATAGCGAACTGTGGGACTGCGGCAGGCATTCTGACACTGGGTGGGAATGGACTAACTGCCACTGACATCCCCAGTGACACTGATACAGTGATCAGTGCTAATAACACAAGGCAGGAAGGGGTTAACATCAAAGTTTTTACTGTGTGCTTTGTGTGTTTTACTGTGTGCTGTTTTACTAGGGAGGCATGCTGTTTTTTATCTCTCTGCTGTACAGGCGTTGATCACCGGGTCCTGGCCGGAGATTCCCCGCCGACACCCGGCGATCGCCGAAGGACACTGACAGATCTCTCCCCTGTCAGCTCCAGCATGCTGCTTTGTTTTGCTCTGCATAGCAGAGCAATACAAAGCAGCATATTTACATAGTAAAACACACATAGTAAAACAACACACAGTTAACCCTTTGATCGCACCAAATGTTAACCTCTTCCTGTCCAGTGTCATTAGTACAGTGTCAGTGCTTTTTATTAGCACTGATCACTGTCACTGGGGACGTCAGTGGCAGTTAGTCAGTGTGAGTCAGTGTCAGATTGCCTGCCGCAGTCCCGTAGTCCCTCTATAAGTCGCTGATCGCCGCCATTACCAGTGTAAACATTTAAAAAAATAAATACATCAATTTCATTTGGATGCTGCGTTGCATGACAGAGCAGTTGTCAGTTAAAGTAATGCAGCGGCGTATCACAAAAAATGGCCTGGTATGAAAGGGGGGTAAATCCTCTGGAGGGAAAGTGGTTAAAGATAGATGTACTGCAAAGTTTTGATAATAGATTTCCTGGAACTATCACTTTGTACACTTGAATTATTTTCGGCTGTGACTCTGTTTAACAGCTTGCTTTATGTAGACCAAAGAAGCCCCAATTATCTTCTATAATAAATAAATTCACTACCAGTCAGTTGTTTCTAATGCAGTGAAAGTATTTCTGAAAACACTTAGAATGTATTTGTATGAAGTTGAAAGCCTATTTATGCAAAGGGCAAGAGTCTAACAAGGCTCAAGGATACATGTGTTAATGCAGCTGTGACACTGTCTGGGCTTTCAGAAACAGTCATGTAAGATTTTAGCTGAGATTTATTTCAAGACAAAAGCATGTTTTGTCATTTATGATTTACAATACCACATACACAGTTAAAAAGTATAATAATGTGCTGGCACGTCTACATTAACAAAACTGGTTTTGTTATGGATGGCAGCTAAGACATTCAAGTTTGTCTTTTTTAAAAAGTTATTTTACTGGTATGAAAGAAGAAGAAAATTAACATAAGCCATCACACACCGGCTGGTTTAAAGTGAGCTTACCAGAGGTTACCTTTAGAGAAAATAACATCAAAATGATAAAGGATCAAGAGAAATTTTCTTTAAAAGTTGAGATTTTCCTTAACCCAGCACCCTTACAGGAAAAGTCATCATTTGCATACATTTCATCTCCCTACAGGATACTTCATAATCAGACTGACATGCAGTTTTGACTAAAGATAACTTCTGTTCACAATCTTTCTTATTATATTCTCAATCATATTTGCCTAAATTTGTGAACCTTACCTTAAAGTAAGCTTGGGCCAAGGTGATATGCAGTGGATTAGTGGGCAGCACTTCTATGCTGCAGCACTAGAGTCACATATTCTGCACAAGCAGTAAAAGCACTTTAAAGTAATCCCTTATTCACCTCTGTAGCTGTAGCCATTGTGGAGAAATGAATCATCAAGGTTTACAATGTAAGCACTGTGATAGTGATTATCCAACACCCAGATCAAAAATGTTGTGCTTGTCAATTTTCACACGGTAATGTGCTCACAGATCTCTGACCTCCAGATTGGTATCATATCACATATATATGATAATCCATCCAGGTTCCACCAGTACTTCTAACCTCCTTCACCTCCAGACCACTAGGGAATCTCCGCTCATTTTTTCCTTGGATCCAATATCAGGGGTATGGTACCTTTAAGGCTGTCATGGATTCATGCTGTCACATTAATCTCCTCTGCTGCCACTTCCAGCAATATCTCATCTCTATTTCCTCCTGACTCACCTCTCACCCAGAACTTCCTGCCTGTACCTGACATCACGGGATCTCATTTGTGTCACAAGTGGTAAATACTATGCATGTGTGATATATATGTGTGATATATACATGGTATATAATATGTGTGATATATACATATATAATATGTGTGATATATACATGGTGTATATAATATATATATACATGTGTGATGTGTGATATATACATGGTGTATATAATATGTGTGATATATACATGGTGTATATAATATGTGTGATATACATGGTGTATATAATATGTGTGATATATATATATGTGTATATAATATGTGTGATATATACGTGGTAACACATTGGTAGCAGCACAGCACCACACACTGCACCATTATTGAGTTCATATTCATGTGGGAAACATTATGATGCTAGCAGTAACTGCACACACTTAAAGGTATATAGAGTTTCATTTCACTTCCATTTTATTTCATTTTGTATTATTATTTAGTCATTCACTTTAGGGCAGTGCAGGAGTTACACATCTCACTTAATTTAAGCACTGAAATCACAGTTCCATTCCTCTCTTTTTTCTATGGCAGCAGAAACTTGACAGCCTGCCAGCCTTGCAATTGACAAACAGTAGGTGCTGTAATCTGTTAGAAACTGAATTTAAAGACTCATTTACACTTCAAGTATGTTAAAATTTGCTGGGCAATTTGCTGTGTGGTGTGCTATGCTGTTTCAGCATATCATACTGTTTACTTTGTCTTATTTTTTTTAACTTTAAAGTGTCACTAAACCCACATCATTAAAGAAACCTATCAATAAATGTTGCGTTGCATGCTGTTCATACTCACTCACTATGGGATTCGTTTTCTGTATTCTGCACAAAATCTGGTTGATCCTGCTGTTCTCCATCTCCCCCTTCAGCTCATGTCTCTAATGCATTTGGGGATTTTGCAGAGCAGTGTTGGCACCTAGTGCACATGCTTAGTTTTCAGTGAGTTTATATGCCTAGCATTTCCTCTCTGTCACAATTTAGCAGCTTATGTGACTACAGAGTCACACAGGTGGGCATATACACAGTGGTAAATGACAGCCCACTCCCTCTCTCCTCCTCCTCCATGCCCACTAACCAGCTAAATACAATGGGGATGGGATATTGCATCTTGATTGATGGAGGCTTCACCTCCCTGTTATTCTAAGACACAGGCTGGAAGGGACATGACGCAGCCTGTGGCTGGCAGAAATCCGCCCACACCATGTTATTGCCAAAAAAAAAATTTGATTTCAAATATATATTTTTATGATGACTTAAGCTCCCCCCTGCCACTGTTTCTCTGCAGACAGGTTGGGAAAGAGCTGGACCATATGACAGCTGTATATTGATTAGGAAAAAAGTTCCAATTTTTTTTTTTAATTATCATAGCTACAATGCCATCATCCTCATACAGAAAGAGAAGGGATAATGTAAATTAAACAGTGGGGGGGATTTACTAAAGCTAGTTCACTCAGAACCTTTTACACCTGTGCATGGTAGCCAATCAGCTTCTAACCTCAGCTTGTTCAGTTACGCTTTAGCAATTAAAACTGGAAGCTGATTGGTTTCCATGTAGAAGTGCATGATATTCTGAGTGGGCCAGCTTTAGTAAATAAACCCCAGTGTGTGTGTATAGTATCACTTTAACCACTTGCTACCCGCGCTAAAGCCGAATTATGGCTAAAGCGCGGCTGTCCAGTTCTTGGAGGGCGTCATATGATGTCCTCCCAGAACATGCCCTCCCGCATGCCCCCAGCGGCGTGCACCCGGCGATCTCCATGATCGCTGTGTCCGTAGGAACAGAACAGAACGGATCAGCCTTAGTGATCAGTGTCCTGCAGTGCCGCCCAGCAATGCCACCCACCAGTGCCCAGCAATGCCACCCACCAGTGCCCAGCAGGCCCAGCCATCAGTGCCCCCATCAGTGCTGTACAAGCAGTTGCGTTCATTAGTGCCCATCAGTGCTGCCCAGCAGTGCCCCTAGTCATTGCTGTCAGTCAGTCCCATCAGTCAGCATTGCCCAGCAGTGCTGCCTATCAGTGCCCATCAGTGCCACCTATCAGTGACCATCATTGCTGCATATCAGTGCAGCATCATCAGTGCCTCCTCATCAATGCCCACCAGTGCCGCCTCATCAGTGTCACCTCATCAGTGCAGCCTATCAGTTCACATCAGTGCTGCCTATCCGTGCCACCTCATCAGTGCTCATCAGTGCACATCAGTGGTAACTATCAGTGCACCCTCATCAATGCACATTAGTGAAGGAGAAAAATTACCTGCTTGAAAAATTTTCTAATAGAAACAAAGAAAAACTTTTCTTTTCAAATTTCTTTCTCTTTTTTTGTTTATAGTGCAAAAAAATAAAACACCCAGTGGTGATTAAATACCACCAAAAGAAAGCTCTATTTGTGTGAAAAAATTGATAAAAATGTTGCATGGGTACAGTGTTTCATGACCGCGCAATTGTCATTCAAAATGCGACAGCGATGAAAGCTGAAAAGTGGCCTGGGTAAAAGTACCCAGTAGGCAATTGATTAACCCCTTGGCGCCGGCACCTCCCGACCCTTTAAGGGTTTCAGAAGCTGGGAGGCGGGGAGGGGTTTAGGGTCATGTGAGTCACAGCGTTCACATGATCGGGAAAGGTACCGATCGAAAGAGGAGATCGGGACCTTTCCATGAGTACCGGATATGTGTGCTGGGAGCGCACAGGGCGCGCACTCTCAGCATATATGTTTTTTTTTTTTAATACAACGCAAATGTGTGTCTAGGCCCAGACGCAGAGGCCACACATTTGCCGGCACCAAGAGTTTAATGGAAGTATACAAAGTGTACACTTTATTCAGGTATTTGCATGGCACTATGCTGCGATGCGGTGACCTGTGGTGCCCTCCAGTGAGCTGCATATTTGCATTTTAACTGCCTCCCGCCCGCCATATAGTACAATGATGGGCACAAGGCGGTTCTCTCGTTCTGGGAGGACGTCATATGACGTCCTCCCATTCTAACCATGCATGTGCGGCTTCGGGAGCGCGCAGCGCGGGCAATCGGCACACAGCAGATCACTGGAAAGAGCCAAAGATGTCGGCTCGGTCATGTGATCAGCTGTGTCCAATCACAGCTGATCGCATGTAAATAGGAAAATGTTGGTTATCGGCATTTCTCTCCTCACGAGCTGTCACGCATCCCTCAGAGGGGACATGTACACTGATCATCAGGGCACTGATGATCAGTGTGCCCTGATGATTTGTGTAGCCCCAGCAGTGCCACCTGTCAGTGTCCATCAATGCCAGCTGTCAATGCTCATCCATGCCACCTGCCAGTGCCCATCAGTGCCACATCAATGCCACATTTCAGTGCCTACCAGTGCACATCAATGCCACATATCAGTGCCCATCTGAGCTGCCTTTCAGTGTCACCCATCAGTGCCCGTCAGTGCCACCTATGAATGCAAGTCAGTGCCACCTATCAGTGCTGCCAGTCAGTGCCGCCTATCAGTGCCAGTCAGTGCTGCTTATCAGTGTGCATCAGTGCTGCCTATCAGTGCCCGCCAGTGCTGCCTATCAGTGCCACCTAACAGTGCCAGTCAGTGCCGCCTATCAGTGTGCATCAGTGCTGCTTATCAGTGCCCGTCAGTGCTGCCTATCAGTGCCACCTAACAGTGCCAGTCAGTGCCGCCTATCGGTGCCAGTTAGTGCCGCCTATCAGTGCCGCCTATCAGCACCATACATGAGTTCTGCCTTTCAGTGCCAATCAGTGATGCCTGTCAATCTCCATCAGTGCCACCTACCAGTGCCTCCTCATCTGTGCCCATCAGTGCCACCTATCAGTGTCCATCAGTGCAGCCTATCAGTGCCCATCAATGCAGCCTCATTCGCACACATCAGTGAAGGAGAAAAATCACTTATTCACAAAATTTTATTTTTTTCAGTAGTTTTTGATTTGTTTAAGAAAAAATAAAAAACCCAGAGGTGATTAAATACCACCAAAATAAAGCTCTATCTCTCACAAAAAAATGATAAAAATTTCATATGGGTACAGTGTTGCATGACCACGCAATTGTCATTCAAAGTGTAACAGTGCTGAAAGCTGGAAATTGACCTGGGCAGGAAGGGGGTATAAGTGCCCTGTAGGCTAGTGGTTAATACACATCCCAGCTGCCTTGTGGGTTGAATGAAGCACATAGAAAACTATTATTATTATTATTATATAGGATTTATATAGCGCCAATAGTTTGCTCAGCGCTTTACATTATAATGGGAGACAGTACACGAGACAGTACAGTAACAATACAATTCAATACACGAGGGGTTCGAGGGCCCTGCTCCTTGGAGCTTACAATCTAGGAGGGAGGGGATAGTGGTACAAGAGGAAGTAGCTGTGGGGGATGGAGTGGTAGGAAGAGTGGAGGAGATCGGCAATTAGCTGAGGGCGGGGTAAGCTTCCCTGAAGAGATGGGTTTTCAGGGTGCACCTAAAGGTGAGGAGAGTAGGTGATAGTCTGATGGATTGGGGTAGGGAGTTCCAGAGGATGGGGGAAGCCCTGGAGAAGTCCTGGAGACGGGCATGGGTGGAGGAGACCAGGGAACTAGAGAGTATGAGGTCTTGTGAGGAGCGGGGAGTACGATTTGGGTGGTATTTGGATACCAGATCAGGTGATGTAGTTTGGGGCAGTATTATGAACAGCTTTGTACGTCAATGTTAGCATTTTGAATTTTATCCGTTGGGCCAGTGGAGGGATTGGCAGAGGGGGGTGGCGATTATGGATCGGTTAGTTATTTTCTATGAGCCCTTTTGGTAACTGGTTTGATCCAGTGTGAAAAAATGCCAGGCACCATACATAGTGTGAATGAGCATTAATAACACTTCAGAGTCCTTGTTGTGATTGTTGAAGATTAATTGCTTCACAGCACATGCAGCTACAGAAATCAGTGGTGGCTTGTTTTAAAGCTTTATAACTCCAGTCCAACACCAGGAAAAGTGCCTCCGCGCTCCAAGGGTTAAAAACTCATTTACCTGAAAGAAGCGGGAGATGCGGTTTTACTTACTAGGTCCTCCGCTCCCCCTGCAGACACACACCCTTGTGCTCCAGCAGTGTACTCATGTCCAGTACTTAGCAATGGGCTCTGCGTCAGTCTTGATAACATTAGAGTCATCCCAACACCAGACCACCAACTGCTTTTCCTGGTCCCAAAGATGTAAATAAGCATTTAACCCCTGTATTGCACAGGTAGATCCACTGCAAGAGAAGATGTGTATTTTCCCTGAAGTTCAGCTTTAGAAATCTGTAAAAAATGTAATGCCCATACACTGGGTACATTTGCAGTCTAAGCTTAAGTGCCTGAAGTTATTATTTAATTAAGATTATGATAAACCCACATCTTGTATCTACAGTCTCATTGGTAATAGGAAAATAAAATACTTAGAATTAGAATGACACCCTACAGTGTATGCAGTGTGTCTGATATCTGTGTGCTGTTGTAAAAAAGCAGCTTTAGCATATAAAGAGCACAGCACACATTTGGCATATAAAGAGCACATCACACATTTGTGTATGTAGCCAGACTTTGCAACCATATAGAGGAAGATCAAGATCTATGCATTGGTATCATTGTTGACTTTGCACAGTGTGGATGAGATGGGAAATAATATGTGTAAACTATATGTTTTCTTTTTTTTTTTACAATAGGTTCTGAGAGATGCACACACCATGTCTTGCATTATTATTAGACAGATTAGCCCTTCATGTCACACATGCAAATTATGTTACACCATATTTTGTATCTTTCAGAGATTTTCAATAAGGCATTGTTCAAATATAGAGTGGGATGTAATCTTGCTTGTTGGAATAATTAGTAGCTGCCTACACATTTAACTGTAGGACTTTCCACTAATTTAATATTTCATGCAATTGACTCATAATTGTAATATAGCTATTTAGACTCACAAATGAGTTTGGCTTGATAACAAGCACACATTGTAACATAACTGCTATAAGGAATCTGAGATCTCTCCAAATTTGCTTTTTTGTAGAAGGATCTGCAAACACAAACAAGTAAAAATGACTCTGTTGGTATAGGGTATATTATTGTTGCAAGACATTAATAAGTAATAACTGCCAATTACTGGCAATGGGTTTATCTGTACACCAAGTTTCACCACTTCAGCCTCAAGATGTATTGATATGTCACGATATGCCCAGTAGTTATTCTGGGATGATGCCTGCAGCTGCAGGCGTCATCCCAGTATCTTTTGTTTAGAGCTGGCAGTGTTCCTTCATGTAAAAGCAATCCTAGTGGCTAATTAGCCGCTGGATTGCTTTTACAGTCCCCCCTCTCCCAACTCCCTCTGGGTTCTCCAATACCACCAGGGAGTCCACAACTGAAGCCAGCAGTTCAGCCAGCTTACTATAGAGCTAAATGTGTATCAGATCTTCCCAGGTGATCTCTGTGGTATAAGAAACCAAAAGTAACAAGTATGTTGTCACTTCAAGTTTCTCCAGAATGTAAACAAGCCATTTTTGGCTTAGGAAACATCTGGTCAAACCAATCTTGGTTTGATCAGATGCTTCTAAGGTCAGAGAAGAGATTTGGTTATAATATACCCGAGATCTCTTGGTAAAGAGGACCTGTCATGCTTATTGCTGTCACAAGGAATATTTTAATCTCTTGTGATAGCAATAAATGTGATAAAAAAAAAACATAAATAAAGGGACAGTGTAAAAATACAAAAAAATTAAAAAGTTGATAATAATATATAAATCAAAAATGTAAAGTGCCCCTGTCCCCCATGCTCACGAGAAAAGGTGAGCTTGTACGTAGCTCACACACATACGGAAGCGGTGTTAACACCACACATGTGAGGTATTGCCCCAAACGTTATAGCAAGAGCAATAATTCTAGCTCTAGACCTCCTTTGTAATTCTAAACTAGTAACCTGTAAAAATTGTCGCCTATGGAGATTTTTAGGTATCATAGTTTGTCACCATTCTACAAGCTTGCACAATGTTAAAGCGTGGCATGTTAGGTATCTATTTACTTGGCATAACATCATCTTTTATATTTTTTACCAAAAAT